AATACTTTCGTTCCTCCTCAATAATGACGCTCACCTATGTTCAACATCGCTGTGCTCGCTTGTTTCCGCACTGCTTGCCGTTGTTGATTTGCCTTCTTTTTGCTGTGTTTGAGTAGCACACAATCCGATATGTGACACCGTCCCGAATCGTGCTACCGGAGGTGTTGACAGTCTCTCTGGCCTCGGACGATCGGTGTGCGGTGGTGACGCTGCTAATCCGGCTATCTATATGAAAAATACTTAATCAAGACAAGAAATAGAAGTAGGAAAGAGGTGTATTTCTATAACAGTTGAGCAAACGCGATTACACCCATAATAATGTGACTATAAGAACAACTATATCTTCAATTGTCGAGTTAGAAGCCGAGAAATTGTCCTTCTATCCATAACGGATAAAAGATAAAGTTCCAGACGTTGACCAATCTCTGCGGGATGCGCCACACATTGGATTTCATTAAACATCGATGGAGATGAATGAATGCATATCTGGCATTTATAATGATCCGCGGTGGCCCAGCGATGTATCGAGCCAGTATTACTATCATCCCACACAAGTGTGGTTAGCAATGTGCCAACCGTGGAGGGGTGGAAGACTTGGTGAGCCATACGTATTGCAGGGCGCCCCTGGCCATTGCGCTACACGCGTCTCCCTTCTTTCCGTATACAAGAAATTCTCAATTCAAACGAACGATTTTACTATAAAAGTGACATGAAACGAATAGACCATGATAACTCAAAAACCGATTTTCTATAAGCCTCGGCATAAATCCTTGACATATTCATTTATATGATCTTATAAACCGATTTTCCTAAGATGAAGCGAGGTTGCTATAGCCCCTCGTTGTCGTTGCTGTTGGTCGATGGCGATGGTCGACGTTTCGGCGATTTCGCCTTTACTTCAAAAAATTCGTTAGAACACTCTTCTAGGTAAGCATAGGGCGCAAAAGCACAACGGCAATGATTTTGAAGCGACTGTGCGGATCCTAGCGTAGGAATCAAAAACATTAACGTGCAAGACTCTTGAGGCGTTTTGGATAAATTTCAAAAATCCAAAGATGAATCGGAAAGACGAATGCCTCACTATCACACGTGACCTGGCACCCTATTTCAAAATGATATTTTACCCCTGGGTGCTCTCTCGCGACCCCACGTAAACAACACGTGGGCCAGTCCCACTTGTAACAGCACAGTGAGTAGCCTTTCTGATCAATATGACGTCTATTTGAAATTTTGATTTCTATTAATACTTTGGCCTTTTCCCACCGAATAATTATTCTTGTATAAAATACGTCCAGACTCTGAGGAAGGCGAAATCGCCGAAACGTCAGCCATCGACCAACAACATCAACAACAACAACAACGAAGACCTATACCAACCTCGCATCAGCTTAAGAAGAACAGTTTATAAGATCACATAAATAGATATAGACCATGAGAGTTTTCACCAGTTGAGCAAGAAACTATTTAATATGTGATTGTGGCATACCTCATCATCTGCTTCCACGTCTTGAAGTGTTCTACCGCCACCGGGACTACACCGTGTTGCAGAATCTCCTAGTCGCATCGGAATTGTCGCCGCCGTTCCAACGGATGTTGTCGGACTATCGCAATGCAGAACAGCTGATGAAGCAGCATCACGGCCAGAAGTGGGTAGCGGTGAAGCAGTAACTGCAGCAGCTTTTGGAGGACTCCGTTGACCATAATTTCCAGGAAAAACCTTGAATCTAACACTTTTAACAACGCCCCGAAATACATTAATAAACAACAACCATATTACAAAAGAAAGGAAGAGTGAACAGTAAATCAGAAGGAAAAACGGTATAAAAGTCAACCACTTTAGCGAGAAACATGGAAACAGTAAGGGACAATAAACATCCAAACAATACCTTGCCCGGACTTTTGACAGATGGTTTCCGAAGCGTCGGACGTTTTTTCCGCTGTGATGGCGGTACCTTTCCTTTCTGAGGTTTTTTACCGATGTGAAAAGAATCATCCAAATCATCTAAACAGAATTATAACCAAGGACTTAAGGACAAATTTTACAAGACATTTCAAAATAATGTAAACTGAAAACCTACCAGATTCAGAGCTTGAACTTGTTGATGGTGAGTTCGTGCCACTATCACCTTCAAAAATAACCTTGCCTTTGCGCGTGTTACTTCCTCCAGCACCACTCTTCTTCCCGTTAGAAGTCGAAATCGAAGATGGAACCTTCTTCCGAGCCACTGGTACCGTTAATTTTGAAAGATCACCTACAAATTGTTCATATACTCAATAGAGCGATAATAATCACTGGAGCAACTTTTTCACTAAGTCATTTGGAATGAATGTTACTCATCAGCGATAACGAACCGCGTCTTCCCCTGCGAGTCGTATGATCTGTGTCATTACCCTCGTCTGGAGAACCATCACGTTTTCCACGCTTCGACAATGGATCTGAACCCGTATAATGATTACGCTTTTATTATGTACGCATGATTTCGAAAATGTCTAAACAAAACGTGCCACGAAGTCCTATACCATACAACATCTAAGGTTCACAATCTCTCAAAGAAACTTCAATTTAACAGACCTCGACATCCTCTCCGGGTTTTTAGCTCCTCGTCTTCACTATTGCTATTACCACTAGTGCTTGTCTCCTCCTCTGTTGTAGTAGTCATTTTAGTTATTTGCCGACGTCCAGCTGAAGTAACGCCACTGGTCCCTGAGTCCATTTTCAATCGCCGTGTTGCATTCGATTTTCTCGCAGTGCGAAACGGCGCAGCACCCTTAAACAAATGCTTGCAAGCAAAAAAATGGAACACTTCCATAGCATGGAGTCATTACAACTCTGTGGTATTACATTAGCAATATATTGTTACTATATTTGATATTATTAGTTCTCACAACCGACTTTCTATTAACCTCGGCATTGATCAAATAATTCTCGATATTGCTGAGCAAACACGAGGGGTTACTTTATCCTTTATTTCGTTAAAGCTGACGCTTCGGCAGCATTGCCTGCTTTAGAGCCCTTTTTATTCACCTTCCACTGATGAAGAATAGTTGATCAATCGCATATAGTTGATGAGTTAGTTTCATAAGTCTGTGATGAAATCAAAGTTTACAACAAGTACTAGAAAATATTTTAAATTCAAATCCATCCTTGTCAATTTAGAAGACGAATTGTTGGAAACTGAAAGGGAAAAAAGTGCTTCGAATTTTACGGAAAGACTAATACCTCTGTAAAATCAAAACGAAGAAAATTATGCTCAGACGCTACCAGGAGAGTTACAAAAAGTACGAACAAACTATTGAGTCATAGAGGAATGTAAGCACAGACTGAAATCTTACGGCCCAAAAAAAGCGTTTTTTCTAAAGAAGCAATGTAACAATAACACTGAGTACAACTGAACAGTCATCACCTTCTTTATAGTACTGCCAACAGCAGCTAATGACACACCACTTGGTGTGCTTGTAATCGCCGAACTGCGGTTAGGTGATGACGGTGACATGATGGGAGCACGTGTACCGTAGTCTTTCGACGGAGTATATACTGAAGGGGTCCACTGAAATTCAGGGAGAGAATTACATCAGTGTGTTAAATAGCATAAATATATGAAGAAGCGTAACAATCAGCTGCTAGAAAAGCCTTCCTCCATAATTTGACCTTACCTTATTCGAAGCGTAAAAATAACTTTTAAAATTGCATTCTTTTGGAGTCTACAACTTATTGTTCCCAATATTTCGTAGAGGTAATAAGGAACTTGGTAATCATAATCATTCAATTCACAAATGGTTTACTTTGGCGTCATACACTCGTCGCCATAAAGAGGTTTTAGAACAAGTTACGATGTTAAAAATACGATGGTGTATCGAAAAATTTAACTACACTCTTGAGGGATGTGTTATGCACTTGACTTCATTAAACATAGCTGAAGGTGGCTGAATGCATATCTGGCTTTTATAATAACTCGCAGTAGCCTAGCGATTTGTCGACCTACTGTCGATACCCTCCCAGACAAGTCTGGTCCCAATCTGTTGACCTCGGAGGGATGCAAGGCTTGGTGAGCCTCGGGCGCGGGAGTTGATGCCAGGTGTATTGCAGGGCCCCTCTGATCACTGTGCTACACGCGCCCCTATCGTTTGAAACCATAGTCTTAGTAGAACCCATATCGTTTTAAATACTCGATAAAGATAATAAGCAGTAAGAGTAGGTAAGTATTAACATTAAGGAATAAGAAAAGACTAAAACTCTACCTTAAGCGCAGACTCATTTAACCAAATCCTCGTTTTGTCATCTTTCGCCTTTCTCCAATGTGCCTCTATCATGGTCCAGTTGAACACAAGAGTTACACTACAAGTTGCTTAATAAAAATTTTAAACAAAAGAATTCAAATAGTAGAAAAATGCGATAAAAACGCTTTCCTAGGAATACCAACCTTCCATTTTGCTTCTGAAACCATCGCAACGCATCAAAAACCTCGATAATGTCGTGAACGGCTATGCCCGTACTCATCGCAAGTTCTTTAGAAAATAAATTTCAAGACAAAAACAAAACGTACAAACCAGTTATCTGCATCAAATACATTAAGCATAAACTGGAACAATGTAGTTAAGAGACCACCCAATGGCTTACCGCCTCATCGTGGCTGAGGTGTTCCTGGATGCCGGACTGCGATGTACAGCGAGGAATTCATCCCTTGGCAGGCTCTTCCAAGTTGAGGAGTCCTGCGTTTCCAAGAGGAAACCCAGCTAAGAGTAGACCAACACCAGGATCCACCATCGTTCTAATATCAAACTGGTCGCATGGGGGCAAATCTCTCTCTGATCCATAGGACTAGGATCCAACTGCCTGTGCTGGTGACGACCTGGGCAAATTTTGGCTAGGTTAAGTAGACCTCGGAACTCCAGGGCATCACAGTGGATAAACCAGCAAAGCTCCCAAAAAGTGGAAATTATTCTGGAGTTCGCGCAACCGGTGAAGACAGGATTCCAAGTATCCAAATAATTTGGACAAATTATAAAGGACACATGAAAGTTATTAAAAACAAACCACTTAGAATCAACTTCTTGGTGCTGTTCTTTGGTATGTGCTCGTGAATGTATTCAAACAGTGCACTTCGCCAATAGCTTGCATATGATATCCTGCCCAGATCTGATAAAGGCCGTTCAGGAGTGCCCATCATATGCTCACGACGAGATAGCAAAAAGCCTTTAAAAGGTTCGTACAATGATGAATGAACACGCAAAAAAGGAGGCATTTCGAAAACAGCCAAACAAGGGTAGAAAAAGCTCACTGAAATCTATTAGAAATCGACCAAATCCCTGTTTTTGGTAACATGGCAGCGTCACAATACACGACAAATTAAACTTCTGCTGGCTATATTTCTCCTGTTAAAATTACATTCACATTTAAAAAAAACGATGCATACTTAAGTCAAAAAAGTCGAAACTATTATGAACCTCTGTTCCCATCTTGAAAAAGGATAGAACTCTCGGCGTTGATCTATCCGTAAGAGTTGCGCCATGCATTTGACTAATCCATTAAGCATCTTTGACGGTCATTGAATGCATATCCAACCTTTGCAATGACTCGCGTTGGACTACCGATGTACCGAGTCTCTATCCTCCCAAACCAGTCTGGTACTAATTTGCTGATCCCGAAAGGATGGAATACTTGGTGAACCTGGGGCGCGGCTATCGGACCCATGTGTATTGTAGGGCTCCTCCAACCACTGCCACTCGCCCTACTTCCGATCATACCGGGTGTAAATAGAAAACTTAAAAATCTCCGAGAAGAGGTTTACGTTTTAAGATGCAAAATGCAGCTATATGAAAGTGAAATGTAGAGTATAGGCAAATAAATAAACATCAAGAAAGCAGTACTGAAAAGAAAACAAACTTTTGAAAAGTATCCAACAAAATGAAATCCGAATTCGTCATTTTTCGTGACGACGTAGAACAAGAACGGCTCCACATCATAGTAGAGCGTTTTGTGGTCCAGAAATAATTTTGCAATTAAGCACAAATTTTGGCAGTATATCCTAAACAAAGGTGAAAGGTTCACAGTAACCTATAGAGCTAATAATAAAGTTGGTATGAATAAACACTAATAGAAAATAGTCTCCATCTTACCTAGAAACGTTTCCATCAACTTCAAAAACGGATACATTATTATTTCGATAGATCTCATTTCCAGGTGGATAGCGCCATTCACATTTTTTCTTAAAAAGGAAAGTGTTATAATGTTATATCTTACATGGAATTCCCACACATGGCTTTTTGAAACGCATGGCACACAAAGAACAAAGCAACTTAAAAAAGCTCTCAGTGTGATCTATCCCTGAGGCACCATATATTCGACTTCATTAAGAATCGTTGGAGGTGATTGAATGCATATCTGGCCTTTACAATAACTCGCGGTGGTCTATCGATGCTTCCAGTCAGTGCTGCTATCCCCTCAGACAAGGCTGGTACCAATTTGCACACCCTAGAGGGATGGATGGCTTAGTGAACCTGGAGCGAAGCGATCTCATGTGTATCGTGGGACGCCCCAGACCACGGAGCTACACGCGCCCCTTAGGAAAACAACTTAAATTTCACAACTCCGCTTTCAACAGAACGAAATGAATGAATCACTAAAGTTAGAGTTAAGCAGCTAATTATTTCGTAAAAAAGAAAAAAAAGCAATGAAAAATGTGCAACACAAACCCAGCCTAACTTAATCGCTGCATAACAAAAGCTATATTTAGAAGAAAGAATAGTAAAAAGAAAACACGATGTAAAACTCGACACCCACCATGTGCTGTGCTAATATTGTTTCAGTTTTCATGTACTTCAAACAAAATTCACATATGTGCAGGATAGGGACGTGGGCGTACTCTTGCGGATATGGTGCGCTATACCACGTAGATATCTCATAAGAACCTGTATTTAATAAAGAATCGCCAAATAATCTTACTAAAACCCTACTCTAAGACTAGTAAATAACGAAATATAACACGCAACCCTCACCTAGTCGTATAGCCATTGGCCATCGAGAGTCATTTGTCGACTCTTTTAACGACGTTGCCGCTATATCCCTGATGGCTTTATCGATGCTCTTAACACCATAAACGTTAAATCAAAGTTTAAAAGTATATGCACCTATTTAACGCAGAATTACACACTACGAAACACATATGGAAGCGTTTACTATAACGCTTTCGATAACACACACTTCTAGTTCAAGCAAAGAGCAGTAGATTCAAAACTTTAAGCAGAAAAAATTCCTTAATCAAAGGGTGGACTAAATTATAAGCAAAAACTCCAATCAGGAACAGAAATTCGTGAAAAATAATCCAATGGTTCCCTATTGTATGCATTGAAATCGTACTTCATTCGCTGTCTTTCATGGCTTAGCGGTGTTTGTAAAAGAAATACAACCATGATGAAGTTGAGATATTTGCAAAACTTAAGACCGCAGGTGTACAAGGTGGGGATCGAACTCGTTATTACTTTTTCCGGGAGCTAACGCATTCATCACCCTACCAAGCGCGTTTTTCGTTTCGCCTTTCTCTTTTTGGCTTTTGAAAGAGTTCAACACACAGGCAATGAATTGGACAATGAAGTCAAGTGGGCTTTAGATTATGTTTAATTAACTATGTACAACCTTATCTCAATTCATATATACAAAACTGCGTATAAACTTTGGACATTGACATATTCCAATGACTTAACAAGGAGAATAAAATAAAAACAAAAAACAAAGAAGATAAAAACAATTGAACGAAACGCACTTCTTGGGCTTTTAACTGAACGGCATTGAACAACCTCCGAGCTTGTTCGGTAATCCTGATCTTCCCCTCCTTATCCACAGTCTCATAGTTCTCTTTTTCACCTGTTGGAGAAGACGTGCAAGCAACTGCGTCATCATTACGAGCAGTATGGCCACTGAAAGAAAGAACTAAGTTTTACTGAAAAAGAAAAAAGCTAGTCAAAAATTTAAGTTAAACTACCCAAGACAAGCTAAAAAAATCAATAAAAAAGGAAGACGACACATCGAAAGAATTTAAACTGAAGAAGGCAAAAATTGAAATTGGATGTTCCGCAAAAGAGAGCTACTCACTTTTTCAACGTTTTCTTCTTGTTGCGCATCTTAGACGATGTCTGCAAAAGAAAAAAAGAAGTGGTGGCAAGACGTAAGCAATGTGAACAAAGAAATTTGTTAAAAATTTGATGAATACGATGTAAAGTGACATGAGTTAAAACACACGCGCCAAGCAGCCGTCACTGCTGCTGAATGAATGGGAACCGGTTATCGCTGAGGGAAGAGAGAAGTTCAGCGAAGGAAAAACGAAGAGCATGATAAACTAACAAGCACTGGCAACGAGCCAAATGTGAACAGCATCACACAACGATATCAATATTTTCTAATCATATCCGATGCCAACAACTGTTCCAAATAATGGTGTGGTACAACTCTTATATGTCGCTTATGATCCTTGTACTGGAACAAACCTTGCTCCTACAACCACACGGCAGCATTGTAAGTAGGTTAATCATCATCACCACTTGGCTATTGATTTTATAGTGGAAGAACGGAAAAACAATCACCCCAGCCAAACTACAGGAGATAAAGGATGCTTTTTAAACGAACGTTTACGACAACGATTACTGCAATAACTCGCAGCTGTTAACGTTTTGATGATGAAAAATAAAAACCATACAGGATAAACTCTCGGTGTTCATCAATCCCTGAACGATGCCCCATGCATCCGAGTTCATTAAGCATCGTTGGAGCTGATTGAATGCATATCTGGCCTTTACAGTGACTCGCAATGGTTTATTGCCGACCCTGGAGGGCTGGAGGGCTTGTCGAACCAGGGGCGCGGGAATTGATCCCACGTGTGTTGTAGAGCGCCTCCGACCACTGACTGCACTACACGCGCCCCAGATGAAAGAAGATGATGAAAAATAAAACTGTTTATAACCGAACTTGATGCAGATCATCTTGTACGATCCTTTGAACCTAAATGATCTCTTCAGGGTCTTTGAGACGGGCCGGTTATCCGTTAACCAAGTCCAAACATTAGTGCAAGAAAACATTAACGTATCAAAGAAAAACCACTAGACACATAAATTTGTGTATTTACTTAGCAGTTATTAAGCAAAAAATCGGCATAAATTATCTATAAGACATCACAGAGAGAGATAAAGCGTCAATTTAGCAAAAGGTATTAGTTCTTCGTTCGTCAAGCATCATGGAAATTCCTCCAAACACTTCTGATCTACAAAGGGGAAAAGCGGTTCCAACTCTTCCGCATGAGACCATAAAAAAAGCATCTTTAAAACGATGTACTCGAGTTAGAAAAAATTACAATTGAAAATAAATGAAGTCAATACGTATACCTGAACAAATATCCAGTCAATGTTTTCCCAACAGGCTACTTTAAAAGAAAAATTTGCTCACAAATTAGAACAAGAACTAGTCTAGCTAATTCCAGGTGAGGAGTAACCCTATGAAAGCCCACGGCAACTCTGAGCTGATAACGGACATTTATCGAAACCCACACGACAATATTTAAAGGAATATAATACGGCAGGTATGGAGACAATATAGTATTACTAAAATTACGATTTAAAAATGTAAGCATTTATCCCCATATTTAAGTCCACAGCATCCATATCATTAAGACAAATTTGACGAAACTCTGATGAAAGTAATGACCTAGGTTCTATAGAAATATCTACCTCCAAAGAGAGAACATTAATTGAATGAAAAAAAAAACTGCAGTAAGTCAGAGATGAGGACATGTGAGTGATCGATTTCTGGTGTCTCGAAAGGCGAGCCACAAGGTCAAAGTTAGTGCATAGCCGCTAGGAACATGCACAACCATCGCTGGCACCATTTCGCCTCATTTGACTAATGATATATTCGTCTTGGTCAGAGTTCAGCTCGAATTAACAACTAAGTCAAGTAATTCAACAAACTAAGCGGACAGAACCTCACAATTTCGATTTAACAGAGGCCACTACAGAAAAACCTGAACTTAACATTGAACTGGACCTCCTAAGGAGATAACAGACCATATTAGAGTGCCAGTCTCCAACATATACCACTATAAGGCGAGAATCGGCGGAATTCACTAGTTACAGGAAGGAAAACGAGCTCAAGTACTTGTCACAAATACCTCAATGTGCGATTCTTGTCCTCATTTTTAGCGCTACTGCTGCTCTGAGATCCTTTCATTGACCTAATTAGATCCCAAATAGCCACTAGAGAAATATTTAGGAAAAAGAACGAACTTCATACCCGTTATATTTCCGTTATGAAACTTTGTTAAAGAGTTAAAAAAAACTATTAAGATATCCATTATTGGGAACTGTTAGTTCTTCCTCTTCAGCCATAATTAGATTAACATTATTCACCTACATCATGAATTATGCTGACAACAAAACTATTTACTAAACCCTCTTTTTTGTAAACTTAGAAACCAAAAAGAACAACTGAATGAAATCAAAGAAGCAGTTACACTCCGGAGCAGAGATTTCTATTAATAAGCAAGACATTACTTACTGCGATAATCTCTTAACCAACGTCAACACATAGCAGGAGCAAACATGGAAAGTAAATAATAGCGCTGAATTATAGCATTAAATTGACAGCGAATGGGCTATGTAACACAACCAAAGAATGACTCGTGAGGAGGCCCTTTCCTCTCATGGAACGAGAATAACAACGCCGGTTTCAACTAGTCGATATTTGCCTCAAGATACCACCAACAGCGTCATATTCGCTTGCAATAGAGAGCAGCACAATGCTAAGAGAGCTATTGCGCTACGACAATCATCACACACAAGCACACTGGGTTAACTGGGTTAACTGCGTTAACCCACAAACTGAGCATCTGACAATAGACACATGCGACATAACATATTTGGCATTCCTATTGATCCTTGACAGGCCACTGAACGACAACTGAATCAGCACATGGCCTCTTCGGAAAGATGAATTCAGAATTGAAGTTCAAGGCGTTAGCATTTCAGTCAGAAAGTTCAAATGAACGACTGTCTGCACCTCATCAGAATATAACGAGACTAAGTTTCTAAAGACTCTATTGACCATCCACAAAAAAAGCTTTAGAATAAAAATTACAGAAAATGACAAAGTCACCTAATACGTGTAGTGGCATGTGGTGGTACATTAGTAATGAATAGAAGGCGAATCACAACTCTCCCGTCCACCTCTCTCCCTCTCCCTCACGCTAACAATTCGATTTTTCTCTCATTTTTATGTCACCAAGCGCACTCACTCCAGCTCTTGTGTGCTTCAATCGAAATGATTGCTGTGAAAACATCTTCCTTTCGTCATAACAATCGCGGAAATCGCGTGTTCCACTTGCCTTTTCAAGAGCCGAGATACCAAACATAAATATTTGATTTCACATTTGCAAAAATATGGAAGCCCGTTATTCCAGGAATAGTCCCAATCCAATATATTCATAGAGCAATTTTCTGGCTCTATGACTGACCACAGTGAAGCAATCTTATTTTAAGACTCTCCAACGCAAAGTCCAATATATTATATTCCCAAATGGATCAAAAATTTGCCTTTCTTGGACTTTTGAGAGGATTTTTTTCAAGACGAATACCTACTTTGCTTTCTCTCTCACTCATCTCAGCTGGTGTCGTTTCATCTTCCTCTGTACTCTCATCGGCAGAAGTTGCAACCTTCGCCAAACGTGAACGTGTGCCTCTGCGGTCCGACTTTCGCGGACTTCCTTGCGGTGTATGTGGAATTTTTGGTGTTCGAACGCGTTTCGTCGGTGGACTATGGCTTTTCGATGACGAACGCCTCTATAATCACAAATTTAACACTGGAAACTTACAGCCAAACAGATTTTTGAGTTCCATTTTATCCTGGAAGTCATAAAGACCTACCTACAAGCTCATTTTTTGCTAACACTATTGGTGCACTTTTGAAAAAGAAAAGGCTAGAAGGAATAAAGCATTCTGCGTTAATCAACCTCCTCTAAGAAATGCTTCATACATTGGACCTCATTATGTATCGTTAGAGGTGATTGGATGTATACTTGGTCTATACAGTGACTTGCAGTGGTCCATCAGTGTACCAAGTCAGTGTCGCTTATACTCCCAGACACGTCTGATGCCTAACCGACCCCGGACTGATGGAAGTTTTGGTCAGCTCGAGAGGCAGGGTTGAGCCAACGACCACGTGTTTATTGCAGGGCACCTCTAACAACTACGATACACGCATCCCATTTCAAGAATAATAGTTCATAAACCGCAATGATAAAACTAACTGACAGAGAGTTAACAAAGCAATTATATTAATAGTGATAGTCCAGTACTCCGCAATATATGACACGTAGACTAGGCACAGGTTACTACAAAACTGTTCTTAAACGGAATAATGTATATGGTAGATACCTAATAACACTTCCACTTTTTTATATGACCCGTCTTTGCATCTACTGTGTGGATCCCACCACTTCTCAAATTCGATTCGTTTCCTCGCATCCATTATCCACGAAGATCTTTCAACATTTACGTGTGGTTTCGGCTGCTGCTTGAGAATTTTCCTTTCATCTTGAATATCGTAGCATGCCGGTCGAGTCAATTCTCCCCGAAGTCTTGAGATAGCCGGGCTGGAGCGTTCCCAATTGGATTGCAGAGAGTTATTTTTTCCCGAATAATTCAGGTACCAATTTCTCGACCCCGGTGGGATGAGAGGCTTGGTTGGCCCAAAGCGGAATCGAACTAGCACCATGTTTGTGACGACGACCATCACTACCACTGTGCTATACGCCCCCTAGCACTTCCACTACTCACCAGAAAAAGTAGTTCTAAATGTTCACCAACACGACGAAAATGTACAATTCTGAAATCAACTTTTCCTTCTGATGAGGAAAAA